ATTTTCGCTCGGAGCAGTGCCTGAATACGTTCGTCCTGTGGCTGCATTACGGCGAGACCGGTCATCTCCCACGGGTTGCTTCTGAGGAAGGTACCGCCCTAATAAAATTGTTATGGTTATTTTGCTTAACGACGTGTTCCGGGTATCATCCAACCATTTGTGGAATAGTATAGTATCATTCAACCATTTGGGTTGTCATTCGGTTATGATATTTTATTAGGGCGGTGCTGCAGTATCTGTACTATCACGCACAAATCGGTACGGTGTTTCGTTGGGCAGTGTAGGTGTGTGTTGAACATTCAATTGATGGTCGATATTTCTCCCCTCCTCAGGAATCGCCATGTCTCCACTGTCGAACAATTCACTGTTCTTGAATTACGACCGCAACCAATTCCCGGAGTATCTGGCCCGAGGCTTGATAGTTTCGCTGTCCACGGATGATCCCCTGCAGTTCCACTATACCAAGGTCCGTTAAGCACCCGTAGAGAACCTTAAAAATAAGTTCCGAATTTTGCGAGCTAACTTCGAAGCATTTCAAGGACTCCATTTTGAAAATTTCAATGTAAATAGAAAATGTACTAAATAAATGAATAAACCAATTGTTCAACTTGTGAAACAAAAGCAACATTAATTTACACTTCAAACTAGCCACTTCAAACTAGGGAACAACGAATAGAAGATTCGGAATCACATAGATGAAGACTAACTAACTCATTTTTTCCTTGTTTCCTGATCATCCTCGGTCCAGGAAACCCGCGGACTTATCACTATCAACAAGGCATACAAAGTAACAAGGACTAAGATGTGTTCCTTTGATTACTGAAAAATCCTGTTCCCCTAGTTTGAAGTAGTCAAGACTAGGAATCGGTGGTAGATTTTACATCCCGTAACGTACCACGAAAAGGTGATCTACCCACGTTACGGGGCAAAAAGGCCCAAGCTAATCGATGCACCCCTCGAAACATAGGAAATCCACGAACCCCTCATTTTATCTGTCAAACTTTCATAGCGAATCAAAACAAACATAGTGTAGTACTAGAATTTCGACTAGAATGGGGTGCGTTAATCGATTTGCTTGGGACCAAAAGGCTAGTAGTGAGCCAATTTTAAATCGTTAGTTTCCAAACGATGCAAGAAGTCTCTCTACATTGTCGCATTTTTGATCATTGTGGACAGCTTTAGTGGAGAGTCACGCCAATTCCGAAGTTACTTGCACTTACAATAAGTAAAAGTATTTGGACTGGTCTCACCATGTTAATTAATACTTTCTTCGACGAACACAAATTTGCTGGCATTGCCATGGTCATCTGGGAGGAGGTTTGCTTCTAGTGCTTTCCTCAGGAACCTTTCGTGGTCACCAGCTACCACCTGTCCAGTCTAGGACGTAACCAGCGGGGCATCTCGCATTCTCCGACACTGGCGAGATACCAGCAGCCGAGCACTTTTGCAAGCGGAAAACTTGCTTAATCCAGCAACGTCGACCACCGAATCACCACCAAAACTCGCGATGGACACATTATCAGCACGTTCCCGGGTTAATTCACCAACCGGACCGGTTTCAAACTCGTCCGCGGTGATGAATATCTCAATAGAACAGAACTAAACTGTACCAATAATCTAACTGAAAAATGGTGTTCAAATAATCAAAAGAAAATTTCTTACCTTTAATTTGAAGGTAAAATGATTAATATAACTTCATTACAATCGTAGATATTTGTATTTTAGTGAGCAAATTCTTTAAAAGTTGTTTAGCTATACCTCAAAAACTATCCTACTGAGATTTGTTTGGACATCATTTTTGGATTCAGCGCATGATGTTACATGGGAAATGACCATCAGCGTACAAAGTTCAAATATGCTGTAAACTAGTTTAATCAATATGGTTATGGCATATTTTCTCTTTGCTCATGATTGTATGCAATTTAGAAAAAAATCGCGGATCTGTAGGTTTACTTTAACGAATTGACCATTTTCTCGGATATTCCGGATATTGAGAGACCCCTCGGTGACAGAATCGATATGGTGAAAGCATATTTCGTCAATGGTCATGGTTGTATGTAATTTAGAAAAACTCGTGAATATCTAGGACAACTTTTAACAATTGAACATTTTCCTGGTGAATCTGGATGCCCAGAAGGGCGTTTAATGGCCACAGGGGGATAAAATCAATATGGCACTGACATATTTCTTCTCAACTAAGGGTTCTTCACATTTTCTAAAAACTTACGGATCTCCAGGTCAACTTTTTAGAATTTACTATTTTCCCGGTGATTCCGGATATCCAGAGGACCGTATTCTGGCCACCCGATAGCAAAATTGATATCTTGATGTCATATTTCCTCTATGCTTATGATTGTATGCAAGTTAGAAAAAATCGCGGATCTCTAGGTCTACTTTCTGGAATTGTCTAATTTACCGGTGATTTCGGATATCCAGAGGACCGTTTTATGGCCACTTGGTTGTAGAATCGATATGGTGATGGTATATTTCCTCTATGCTCCTGATTGTTTGCAAATTAGAAAAAAATCGCGCAGCTCTACGACTACTTCTAAGAATTGAACAATTTCCCGGTGAATCCGGATATCCAGAAAGGCATTTAATGGCCACCGGGGGACCAAATCAATATGTCACTGAGATATATCTTCTTAACTAAAGGTTCTTCACGTTTTCTAAAAGAGCACGAATCTCCATGTCTACTTTTAAGAATTGACTATTTTCCCGGTGATTCCGGATATCCAGAGGACCGTATGATATGTTGATGTCGTATTTCTTCTATGCTAATGATTATATGCAAGTTAGAAAAAATCGCGGATCTCTAGGTGTACTTTCTGGAATCGACTAATTTCCCGGTGATTCTGGATATCCAGAAAACCGTTTTCTGGCCACTTAGTGATGGTATATTTTCTCTATGCTCACGATTGTATGCAAATTAGAAAAAAAGCGCAGCTCTAGGACTACTTTTAAGAATTGACCATTTTCCCGGTGAATCCGAATTTCCACAGAGCCACCTTTCACGGGTTTTATCGTTCCGATTGGCCACCCACAACTCCAATCCGTTCCTTGTCTGTTCCGTTTGAAAGTTGATAGTCATACCTTTCAAGTAATGGCTCAATCATAAGATGTGGTAACCAAATTGCCGAGAACCAGCCATGTCAACGGGTTTTTCCGTTCCGGCTGGCCAACCACAGGTCCAATTGAGTTTCTATCAAAATAAAATTAGTTAGCCATATCTTTCGATTGGTGGCTGAATCATAACAATTGGTCATTACATTGCTGAGAACCAGCCATGTCAACATGCATCGACACGCATTTCGCAGCCTTGGGGTTATGTCAGTTAATCCAGTGGCCACCCTGATCACTGTATGGTGTAAGATTAAGGTGATACTCTAAGGAAGCCTTACCGTGAAACTTTAAAGGCACAAATGTCAGCTTCCACAAAACATACAAATTTGAAATTGCTACTCATTGCTTGCTGTGCTACTACAAACATCCATTGTATCCATTTAAAAATGTTTCTTATTTATAACTCTATATTCTATCGTGATAGAAGTCGCTTTTACTAAACTTTTGATGGAAAACGTCTGGTTTATTTAATTTTATTATTTTTTCCAGAGACTCTCTTTGTTCATCTTAGAAAAAAAAAAACGTTTTAACTTGCCCCGAATAGGACTAAGCCAATTAGTAAAAATGTGTCTCATTCTTGTTTCACTGCCATTCCTGAGAGCATAGAATCAGTATAGGTACAGCATAATACACCCGAGGTGGTGGGTTCAATTTCTGGACTGGTAGGGGATATATTCTAGATGCATTTCCACACAATATCTTCTTCTTCATGTTCGCATTTCAAGCTTATTGCATATCGCATATTAGCTTATAGCATGCTCTCAACTTAGTGTTCTAGATACACTTCCGCAGTTATTAACTGAGAGCTTTCGATGCCTGTACCATTTTTGCATTGTTATAATTGTGTGGCAAGTCCAATATCATACTTCTATGCCCAGGGAAGTCGAGAAATTTTCCAACCCGAAAAATTCCTAGACCATACCGGGAATTGAACCCACCCACCTCCAGTATGGTCTCGCTTTGTAGCTGCGCCTTTACCGACTGAGCTAAGGGAGGCCCCTTCCACACAATGTACGAATGCTTAATCAATGCTGACCTAGAAAGCTCTCAGTTTACACTAAGTTGAGGGCAGACGACTATTCCGAGGCCAAAAAAATTTCACTTAGCAGAAAGCAGGGACGTTACGTCAAAAGTTTTACTTATTCGCTTTTAAAAGTTTGATTGCAATCGATTTGAGCAATCCCAGATGCTTATTTCAAATAACAGACTAAAGTGGTCATTTTTATACGATAGATGAGATGATGACAGTATAGAGTAGATAGTTTCGTTAGAGTACGGAAGTGTAAAAATTGTACGTAGAGAGTAGAAAGTGAGCATGGACGACTTTGATGAAGGTGCGAATCGGATTGATCATCTATCGTGTAAAAATGACCACAGTCTGTTATTTGAAATTAGCCTCTTCAACTATTTACAAATCGTTAACTTCACCCAGAAGTAATACGAACAAAATAGTTAAAGTACAGTCCCAGATGCACTAAATAGTTTTTGTTGTTGATTATAATTCTGTGATGAGCAATAATCAATCATAAGTGTATGTGTGTGAAAAGTATTCCCGAACATGTTCTTTTTCAATGGTTTATAGATTGACTTAAGAAATGAAGCACCTATCCTTTTCAACATAATATTTAGCAGTGAAAATAAATGATAACGGTTTATTTAAATGAAAAATCGACTGGCATCACCGTACCTGTACAGAGCTTTCATCGGCAGGTGCACTTCGTCACACACGCGGGGTCAGTATTGGAAAACAATTAAATTTAAAGTGCGATCCCTGTATTGTGTGCATTGGGAAATTAACACCGGCCGAGTAACTGGCAAATGAAAAGCGAAACCCTAGTGAGGCAAACGAAAGTAAAACCGACAGAAAATATAAATACATCACGCAAAAGTTAAGCAATAACCATTTCACTATCGCCTGTTGAAACTATTGCAAGCACCATTTCCATCCCATCGAGCTACCATCGGACGGAATGAAGGTAAAACATGCCACAGGGAGTTGTTGGTTTATGCTGTCAATACTCATATTGTTCAATTTTTCTTTTCCATTTACTCCCCAGAAAGCACTCATATTGTTGATGTTCGCAGTTGGTTGGAGTACCAGCGACTCGGGAAAGTCAATCAAACACAAAAAGCGAGAACTACCATACGGGACCAGCGAAACGGTCGAATCGTCCCACATCTTCGACACCCAGTCTCCTGAAGCCAACTACAACTGGGGTAACAAACAGTTTAAAGAAGTTACCATTACCAAAAATGTTCCAGTTCCGTTTCCGGTGAAAGTGGAAAAGCATGTAGCCGTTCCGGTTCGGATTCCGTTTCCGGTAGCAGTCCAGAACAACATACCGATCGTAGTGGAACGAAAGATTCCCATCTATGTGGAGAAACCAGTGCCAGTGCAAGTGGATCGACCAGTGCCTTACCCGTTGCCGATCCAAATACCAGTATTTCACCGAGTGGCCGTAGAAGTGCCAAAACCCTACCCAGTGCACATTCCTGCGCCTTATCCGGTGTACATTCAGAAACCGTTGTACGTTGAGAAATCGAAGAAATACAAACGGGTCAAGAAGAACACATCGAAAGTCATGAACAATAGGCAGCACCACTAAAGGACTAATTGGGTTGATTCAGTGACTCAAGTCTGCAAACACTTTCAGCGAGATTAAGTGCACTAGTGTTAATATTTATTTAAGAAGACGGCATATAAGTGATTAATTTAAACTGCAAGGAAAAAGCAAAAATACTGGTCAACGAATTATATTTCAAGTATTATCTAAAAAAGAGAACTCCATCCACAAAGTTCTAATGCTTTCGTGAAACATCCCAAATATTGCTAATACATCGGAGAAGCTCATAGTTTATTATCAAATATACTAAAAAACATATATTTGCATCGTTTCTAGAGTGTCCTTGAATTGGGACTCATAATCAGTGAAATCTATTAGTAAGAAGGTGAAAGTTTTTAAAGGGCTGTCCATAAACTAAAGGAGAGCGGGAGGCGAGTGTGTGCGGTTCATTCAAACTACCAAATATTTGTATGGACGATTATCTACGCGAGAAGACGGAGGCTTAGCTCCTCTCAAAAATGGTCTACGAAATTTATGAACAGCCCCTAAGTTCGCATCTTTTAATCCCTTCAGCTAGGCTCTAACTGCAAGTAGAACGACAATAATAGTACGCTGTCTTTGACACATTTCTAAGACTGATTCTACTAATACGAGAGAAGTGTGCCAGAACCAACGGATGTTGTTCATTTATGTTCTACGGTTACTATCAACTCGTCGTAAGTTATGCTTAGATTACAAGTATAATTGAAAATAAAAATGAAATTGATTCATTTCGAGATATCATTTGTTTTATCTGTTCGAATAATTCGTTTGGTTCCATTGGAGGCGAACCAGCCTAAGGCTGAAAGCCTCCTAAATAAAGCTAAATTAATTAATTAATTCGTTTGGTTCCTTCGGCTTTGTTGAAGACATATATATTTTTAGAATATTTCTTCTGCAATGCTCTCTGTCTACAGAATTAAATTAAATAACTAGAGTTTTTTTTAAAGTAATGATTGACTGAGCAAAGTTGATTAACAACCTGATATCATCAGTATAACAGAATTGTTAATCCAGATATTATTTTTTATTATCAGTTGTTATTACCTGATATTTGAATCCAATGAAAACTTTTTTTTTATCAAATGTCACGAAGCAAACGATGTATACAGTGTATCTTAAAATTGAGCATATAGCTGTCCTTAAAGTTTAGAAGAAAAATAACAGCTGTACAAGAACACTACAAAAATACGAACTAAAGAACTTTTGGTTGATGAGGATATCCCTGGGACATCAGTATTTGGTATCGTATCGTTTGGTATCTTTCTTGTGTGTCTGCAATAGTGACCAGAATGTGAACTATATAACATTATATGTACGAGAAAGCGATTGTCATAGGTAGGTGGCTTAATCCGAGTTTTATAAATAAGCTGATCGTATACTCTGAGTGGCTCTGGATCGTCTGGAGGACTAGCTGGTGACCACTCAGAGCCTATGACTAGCTAATTTAACAAAAAAATATTATTTCCGAATACTTTTTCAAAGCGACGCACACTGGGCAGATCAGTGATTTTCTCGGAAATAATATTAAATTTTGGACGAAGCATCCCATCCCAGATGACTGTCTTGTGTAAAAATGCTTGTATTGGTTAAGCACTTCTTTTGAATAACGTAATTAGTTCGCAACATGGTCGTAAAGATGGCGCGTGAATATAACTTTTGAATAAAGCGTCCTAGACGTATGGTGATTTCAACAAAGTTGTTTAGCTATTAAAATGAAGTTTAGTTGCAGAATACATGCAACTTCTATAACCTTTAGTTTCGGAGATATTTATAGGGTATATTTAAAAATAATTTTAACTCATAGTTCTTATTTCTAAACTTTCATATTTTTGTTGTGGTTTTTGCATATATTTCAATGAAAACAAACAAGGTGCGAATTTTAAATGAACTATTTTTGGAATTTTTAGTGGTTTTAGTGAAATATTCTCAAAAAACAAGATATTTTGCCTATATTTTAGGTGGGTGGGATTCTCGTAAGGGCAGCTAAGGGCAGCTGGACTTTTTTTTTTGTTAGCTCATGTCATCGTCTAAAGCTATCATCACACTGTTTGACAAAACGCCAAATATTTGGCAAATTTGGACAAACATATTTGACAAAAGTATAGTGGCCAAATATATTTGACCAATTTTTGCTATGGCAAATATTTGACGTGTATTTGACATTTCAATTATTTGGCATTTTGTCAAATAGTGTGATGCCTTTTGTTATTGTTTGTCAAGTATGTTTTTTCAATACTATCAAATAATTTGACACTCTAAAATTTCTTGAGTAGCAAACATCAACAAATAATTGTGCAATTACCGGTTCTCGAAAAAAAAAATCAATTTTTTTGTGTTGTGAGCATTTTGATGATGGCAGAAGACTATTCCGGTGCTACTTTCGACGATGTGGAGAGTGTTGGAGCTCCAAGTCCAAGTGGGACGTCGAAATGAATGGAAGTTAAGATCTTTTCGTTGGTGTACAGTAATTTAGTATTTTCTCACTTCGTGGCGCTAGTATACATGTTGGTCATTCCAGCTCAAGTGTATACACCACCTGGGGTCAATGTCACCGATTTGAACCAAACTTTGCCAAAACGCTTATTTTGACATTCTAAACAAACTACTGTTTTGGTTTTGCTAACAACAGTAAACAGAATGATTTTCGGATGGTATTCAAGCTATCAAAATATGGACAAATTTCACCCAGGGTGGGATTCTTTATTTCACATTTTCGCTACTTTTTGGAAAACCCTTCTGATGCGACCTACCTTTAAGAAATTCTGCTTCAAAACCAGATAGATGGCATCCAGGACTTCGGATATGATGTTTGAAATAGTTGGCTGTGGGATGCGAAAAAAGTACTGGAACGACATGAAGCTTTCGCCGGATGATCGCTCCTCAACTCATTCAAAAGGATTGCATAACATCCTTCAGTTTGCCGTTTCTTCACCCACTCCTGGACCCAAACACTACGCACTTTTTTTTCGTTCTCCTTCAGCAACAGATATGCTGCTCCCATAACTGTAGCAAACTCAGAATAATTAATCCTGGTTATTTTTCTTCGATTTCAACTTCACAGCAACACAACAACAATCAGACTTTAGCTGCGAACAAATGACAAAGAGGCAACTTAATATATTGGCGTTGACGGCGACTCTGTAGCTCTTTACTCCTATGAGAAAATCCATAAGCAAACGTCAGACTGTGCGTGAAACATGGCGGACTTTGTACTATCCTTTCACTCCACCGAAAATTCCCATAAGAAACTGTCTATATTTGCTGAAAGAGCAAATTTTTTGACGGTGCCGTCAACGCCAATAAATGCAAACAGTTGCAAACAATGTGATGATGTCAAATATATTTGTTGACCGTTGGTCAAAACACCTTATTTCATGTTTGGCCAAATAATGTTTGCTCAAATATTTGCGAAATTTTATCATAGTGTAATAGCATTGACAAACAACTTTGCCAAATTGCATTATTCGGCAAAAGATAACGAAGCAAATATTTGGCGTTAACCAGCTCAATCAGCTGCATTTAGGCGAGTTAAGAGAGGTGACACAGTCGGAAGAAGTGTTAGTGTGTTTACTAAAATGAACCGCCCATTTTGTTATGGCAAGTTTTGCTATAAGAAATGCTCCTCGTGTTTATTAGCGAAATTCACTTCAAAGATTGATTAATTACGTAGGAAATCAGTTTGGCACGGCATTTATGATCAGCATACACCTTCCGGTCGTATGAAACAGGTCAAAAACTGTCCAAATCCGCAGATAAAAATTTTTGTTTTGAATTTCTGTATGGCAAAATAGTGAACTTTCCGTGAACATTAACGGCAAAGAACTCACCAACACTGGGAGGCCATGAGTTCCTGCCCATTTCTCATTTCTCATCTCGCAGCTGCATTACCCACGTAAAGTTGTGTGTGTGACATCATCGAACATGCTAAGTGCTGCCGTGCCAACGTGATCGTGTACCTAGGCGAGTAAGAGAGGTGACACAATCGGAAGAAGTGTTAGTTTGTTTATTAAAATGAACCGCCCATTTTGCTATGACAAGTTTTGCTATAAGAAATTCTCCTCGTGTTTATTAGCAAATTCACAGGTCAAAAATTGTCCAAATCCGCAGATGAAAATTTTTGTTTTGAATTTTTGTATGGCAAAATAGTGAACTTTTCGTCAACATTAACGGCAAAGAACTCACCAACACTGGGAGACCGTGAGTTCCTGCCCACCTGTCATTTCCCATCTCGATCGTGTACAACGTCTCAATATCAAAGTAGTTGGTATCCGTAAGCGTGAAATTTTTCCTCGTCTTTGTTCAGAGATCAATAATCTACAAAGTTGCTATAATGGATTCACCTTTAAGTAAATATAAACGTAAATTTTCAACATTTATTCATTCTATACCAAATGCTCAACATACATTTCGTTCAGTGATATCTCAAAATTAATTTTAGTAAAGATAATAATGCGAATTAAATCACACAAACACACCCAATTTTTCTTCAACCAGATTCAAATCGAAATAAAACTTGAAATCATCATCCATAATTCTTACGCCAAAGTCACGACATGATCCAAGAGTGTTAAAGTGAGTGAAAAAAAATAAATCTCAGGGGTTGAGTAAAAAAATGTGGTCTTCCTTTTAATTTGGATTCAGGAATCAATAATTGATGATTTTTTTTTTGATCAGGATGCGTGGATTACTTTTTGAGTTTTTGATTTATTTTCAAAAAAATGAGGAGTTATGGGTCCACAGATTGGGATCGTAAATTGGTAAATCTACAAGTATATATAGAGCTCCATAAAAAATGCTAAAACTGATAAGAGTGGTGAGGTTAATAAATGAATAAGCATCTTTGCTTCCGATTTCAAGAAAAGATGATAGGATTCAAAAGCGAGGGATTGACAATTTTCTTAAAACTAATCAGCACTGGCTTGATGTTTCAATAAGTTTTCACAATTTCGGTTTTTCTCCTAAAAAGCCTGGCGGTAGACCAGTGAAAAGTTTCCAGGAAT